CCGCAGGCGCGGGGCGGAGGAGGAGCATCTGTTCAGGAGGCGAAGAGGACGTAGGACGGGGGGGGAGGGGAAGGAAGAGGAGGGAGGAGGAGAGGGAACAGGTCGAGGGGGAGGGAGGGAGTTGAGCGGATGAGGAGGGGCATGAGGTTGATGAGGGTTATGCTGATGGAGATGGTGCTCGTGGCTGTGGTGGTGGTGGTGGTGGTGGTGACGACGGCGACGAGGAGGAGGAGGAGGAGGATGACGATGACGATGACGATGCCGATGACAATGAAGGCGGCGACGGCGACGGCAACGATGACGATGACGATGGCGATGACGATGATGATTCTGATGATGATGGTGACGATGATGATGCTGATGATGATGACAATGATGCTGATGCTGATGTTCATGATGATGCTGATGCTGCTGCTGCTGATGATGATGATGATTATGATGATGATGCTGATGATGATGATGATGATGATGATGATGATGATGATGATGATGATAATGCAAACGACGAGGACGACGATGACGATGATGAGGAGGAGGAGGTGGAGGAGGAGGAGGAGGATGAGGAGGACGAGTAGCATGATGGTGATCGTGTTTGCAGTGATGGTGGAGAGGATGAGGGTCATGATGAGGGTTTGATGGTGATGATGATGCTGATGACGGTGATGATGATCATGATGATGAGGAGGAGGAGGAGGGGGAGGATGATATTGAGGATGATGATGCTGCTACTGCTGATGATGATGATGATGAGGAGGAGGAGGAGGAGGAGGAGGAGGAGGGAGGAGGAGGATAATGGAAGAGGAGGAGGGAGGGATGGAGAGAGAGGGAGGGAGGGAGGAAGGAGAAGGAAGAATGAGGGAGAAGGGAGGGAGGAAGGGAGGAGGAAGAGAAGGAGGGAGATAGAGGAGGGAGGGAGGGAGGGAGGAAGGGAGGGAGAATGGAGGAGGATGGTCAGGGGAAAAAAGCGCCTGATCAGGGGCTTTCCCCCTCGAGGGTCTGCCCCCCCCCCCCCCCCCCGACAGGATCAAGACCTCCCTGACATCCCGATCTCGCCTCGGCGGCGAGCCCGGGGGGGGGGAAGAGTTTGAAGGGGCGGGCCTTCGCAGGAGGCTCCGAAGCCCCCTGGCCTTCCGAGAAGGTGTAGGGGCCTATACCACGAAGACGCGGACGACTTCCCGGAAGGCGCGAGCGCTCCTGAGAAGCCCCGCCGCCTTCTGAGAAGGCCTTCTCATTCTCGCTTCCCCCCCCCCTCGCTCGCCGCCGACAAGAGACGGGGGTCAGTGCAAACGGGGGTCAGTCAGAGCGCCAGATCTTGCAGGATCCTGCAGGGCCAGGGTTGCACTGACCCAGATTAGCGCGCAGGATCCTGCAGGATCTCGCAGGATCCTGTAGAGCCCGACTGACCCGGGTCTGGATTGACCCGGGTCCTGATGGGCCACTTCTCCACCACCTCTGCCATAGGCAGGGCGAGGGAGAAGTGAGGACGGGGAGGTCCTCCTCCTCCTCCTCCTTCTTCTCCTTCTCCTTCTCCTTGTTCTCTTCCTCCTCCTCCTCCTCCGCCTCCTCATCCACCTCCTCCTCCTCCTCCTCCTCCTCTTCCTCCTCCTCCTCCTCCTCATCCTCCTCCCTCTCCTACCTATAGTAGTGGTGGTGGAAGACCGGCCCATCCTGTCCGTCCCGCGCCCTTCTGGGCCTCCGTGGCTTCTGGGGATCGTCCGTAGCCGCTTTGGTTCAAGCCTCTGGTCTAAGGTCGAGCTGAGTCCACGGGGCAACCGCTCCCACCGCTCAGGCCGCTCAGTGCAATGAAGGGTGCCACAGTTCTGTCGCTCCTGCTGGTTGCCGGCACGGCTCATGCGGACGATGCGTCGCCCATCGGCAAGGTGTTGCAGCTCATTGGGGACCTGCAGTCGAAGATCATCGGCGAGGGCGAGGAGTCCCAGAAGGTGTACGAAGAGTTCTCCGAGTGGTGCGAGGAGAGGAGCAAGAACCTCGCCTACGACATCAAGACGGGCAACTCCGAGGTCGCCTCCCTGAAGGCGACGATCAGTGAGGAGGCCGCGATGATCGCCTCGCTCACCACTAAGACGGAGGAGTTGGCCTCCGCGATCGCCACGGACGAGGCAGACCTCAAGGCCGCTACGTTCATCAGGGAGAAGGAATCGAAGAAGAAAAAACGGCAGAAGAAAAAACGGCATAAACATAATTTATCGACGCTCCGCGCTCAACGCAGATCCAAGACATCCGCGCGGAGGGCCGAAAGTTTATGTTTATGCAGAATTTTGCTCCTCTAAGGAATCGGCCGACTTCGCCGCGGAGAAGGGCGAGCTCATGGACATCATCGACACCCTGGAGAGGGCCATCGGCATCCTGGAGAGGCACGGCGCGTCCATGCTGCAGCTGAAGAACGCGAAGAGCGTGGCGCAGGCGCTGGACGCCATGGTGGGCGCCTCCATGTTCAGCCAGGCGGACGCGCAGCGGCTCACCGCGCTGGTGCAGGGGTCGGAGGAGGACGGCGGTGACAACCTGGGCGCGCCAAGCGCGGCCGTGTACGAGGGCCACAGCGGCGGCATCGTCGCGACGCTGACGGACCTGCTCGAGAAGGCCCAGGCCCAGCTGAAGGAGGCGTCCGGGGCCGAGACCGCCAGCCTGCACAATTTCCAGCAGCTCAAGCAGAGCATCGAGGCCTCGAAGAAGAGCACGTGGCGTAAACCATGAGCCGCTGGAGCTCCGCGCGGACTTCTTGCATCGGCGCTGGGTCCCCCTCGCGGCGCCTTCGGCGCTGCCCCTGGCGCGCTCCGCGCGCCTGGGACGGGGGGCTCCAGCGCCGAGCCAAGAGATCCGCGCGGCGTTCCGACAGTTTCTGTGCATGCAGCTTTTCCCCCCTCCAAGGACGAGATCGCCTACGGCAAGAAGGAGCTGGCCGAGGCGAAGGCAGGCGCAGCCTCGAGCGCAGAGAAGAAGGCGGCCGCCGAGGGGGACCTGCAGGCCACGGACAGCGACCTCGCGGAGGACGTCAAGGTGCAGGGCGACCTCCACCAGCAGTGCATGACCACCGCCCAGGACTTCGAGGCCGAGGTCAAGAGCCGGGCGGAGGAGCTCAAGGCCCTCGCGGAGGCGAAGAAGGCCCTCACGGAGAACACCGGCGCGGCGGACGGGCTCGCCTACGGCCTGAGCCAAGTCTCGCTCATCCAGAAGCTCTCGACGGGGGCGGACCTCGCCCACTTCGAGGCGGTCCGCTACGTCCGCGACCTCGCCCGCAAGCAGAACTCCAAGGCGCTGGCGCAGCTCGCCTCGCGCATGGCCTCCGCGATGCGCATGAGCTCGGGCGACGGGGCGGACCCCTTTGCGAAAGTGAAAGGGCTCATCCAAGATATTCGGCTGCTTGCGGCAAATCCCGCCACCGTGCCAGCCCAGCATCTTCGGTTGCAGCTGCACGAACCGATGATGATGATGATGATGATGATGATGATGATGATGATGATGATGATGATGATGATGATGATGATGATGACGAGGATGACGATTGTGAAGAGAATGAGGAGGAAGAGGAGGAGGAGGATGAGGGTGAGGACGAGGATGGTGAGGGTGCGGATGAGGGTGAGGATAATTATGGGGATGGTGATGGTGATGATGATGATGATGATGGTGATGGTGATGGTAATGATGGTGATGATGAGGAGGAGGAGGCGGAGGAGGAGGAGCATCATGGTGATGTTTTTTTTCGGTGGTGGCGGAGAAGTTGAGGATCAGGACGAGGATGATGAGGATGAGGATGAGGATAAGGATGATGATGATGATGCTTATGATTATGATGATGATCATGCTGATGATGCTGATGACAACGACGACGATGACGATACTGATGAGGACGATGATGGTGATGATGCTGGTGATGGTGATGGTGGTGATGATGGTGATGATGTTGATGATGCTGGTGATGGTGACGGTGATTGTGATGGCCATGGTGATGATGATGGTGCTGAGTATGATGATGATGATGATGATGATGCTGTTGCTGTTGATGATTCTGATGGTGGTGGTGGCGGTGGTGCTACTGTTTAACGCGATGCTTACGATGAAGATGACGAGGAGGACGGCGATGATTACGATTCGAACATGAACAGCTATGCTTATGATGGTGATGGTGTTGATGCTCATGCTTATTAAGATGATCCGACGATGACAATGGTGAGGAAATGATCAGGTTGATTGTGGATGAGGGGGCGACTACACATGATGATGTTGCTGATGCTTCTGTTGTTGTTGATAGTGATGGTGATGATGAGGATCGGATCAGGATGGGGATGATGATGATGCGGATGCTGCTGCTGATGATGCTGCTGATGATGAATATGATGATCATGCTGATGGTGATGATTATGATGCTAATGCTGATGATTGTGATGATGATGCTGATACTGATGAAGAAGACGATGATGATCATGATGATGATGAAGAAGATGATTATGATGATGAGGAGGAGAAGGAGGAGGAGAAGGATGTTGAGGATGCCGATGATGACGATGATGACGATGATGAGGAGGACGATTGTGAAGATGATGATTGAGCTGATGCTGCTGCTGGTGATGCTGCTCATGATGAACATGATGATGATGATGTTATGATGATGATGATGACGGAGGCGGTGGTGGTGGTGGTGGTGATGATGAGGAGAGGGATGGGGACGACGAGAAGGATTATGATGATGATGCTGATGCTGCTGCTGCTGCTGATGATGATGATTATGACGATGATGATGACGATCATGATGATGGTGATGATGATGCTGACGGTGATGATGATGGTGATGATGCTGCTGCTGATGATGATGATGCTGAATATGATGAGGATGATGCTGCTGCTGCTGACGACGACGCCGATGATGATGATGATGCTGATGATGATGATGATGATGATGATGCTGATGATGATGATGATGAAAATGACGATGATGGTGATGATGATGATGATGATGATGATGATGATGATGATGATGATGATGATGCTGATGATGATGATGATGATGATGATGATGATGATGATGATGATGATGATGATGATGATGATGATTATGATGATGATGATGATGATGATGATGATGATGATGATGATGATGATGATGATGATGATGATGATGATGATGATGATGATGATGAGAAGGAGAAGGAGGATGAGGAGGAGGAGGAAGAAGAGGAGGAGGACGAGGAGGAGCAGGAGCAGGAGGAGCTCGAGAAGCAGCAGGATGAGAAGGAATAAGAGGAGAGCCATCACATGTGTCACTTTTCCTTTTCTCTTCGCTTCTCGAGGAGCCCTCGTGGCCCCTCCTTTGGGCCGTCTGTGGGCTGGCCTGGGCTCCGGTTGGGCAGTCTTGGGGGTCCCGTGGGCCCCCTTGGGCCGTCCTTGGGGCATTCCCTGGGCCGTCTTCGGGATCTCTGGGGCCTTTGTGGCCGTCTGGGGTGTCTCTTGGTGCCGTCGTGACGCCGCCTGGGGCTGTCCAGGTGTCCTCGTGGGCCGTCCTGGGAGCCATCTGGGGCATCTCCTGGACGCCTCGGAGTCCGTGGGCCGCTCAGGAAGCCTCGTGAGGGGTGGATCCTCCTCCTCATCCTCCTCCTCCTCCCCCTCCTCATCCTCATTATCCTCCTCCTTCGCCTCCTCCTCCTTCTTCTCCTCCTCCTCCTCCTCCTCCTCCCCCTCCTCCCCCTCCTCCCCCTCCTCCTCCTCCTCCTCCTCCTCCTCCTCCTCCTCCTCCTCCTAGTAGATAGGGGGGTCCTCAAAGACTGCTGAAGCCCTGCCAGGCAGCATTTGGCATTCAACCACGCCTCAACGTGCCGGGGGGCACGGTGGCGGATGATCGAGAAATTGGAGTCCGAGGCGGGCGCCGACGCGAAGCACAAGGCCTACTGTGACAAGGAGATCGCGTACGCGGACGAGAAGAAGGCCAACCGCATCTCGGAGATCGAGAAGCTCACGACCAGCATCGACCAGATGTCCGCCAGGTCCGCTCAGCTCAAGGAGGAGATTGCAGCGCTGGAGAAGAGCCTCGCCGACTTGGCCACGTCCCAGGCCGCGATGGACAAGCTCCGCTCGGAGGAGCACGCGCAGTTCCTGGCGAACAAGGCTTGTGGACGTCGATTCATGGAGAGGAAGCATGCTGACAAATAATTTCCAGATGTCTAAAAGACATTCCAAACATGTATCAAATATGGAAAAAATGTTTGAAACAATTGTAGAACATGCTCTACACATTTTAAACACATCTTTAATTCAGTGATCGGATTGTTAGAGTGTCCATTGTCATGGCATCCACAAAGCAAGGCGGACATGGAGCAGGGTCTGGAGGGCGTCAAGATGGCCCTCAAGATCCTGACCGAGTACTACGCCAGGGAGAGCAAGGACCACGGCGCCGCGCAAGGCTCTGGCGAGGGCATCATCGGGCTCTTGGAAGTCTGCGAGAGCGACTTCTCAAAGGGCCTCGCCGAGTACGTTGGCGCGGAGCAGACCGCCGTGGCGGAGTACGAGCAGCAGACGAAGGATCACGAGGTGGAGACGGCGACGAAGCAGCAGGACGTGAAATACAAGACGAAGGAGTCCAAGGACCTGGACAAGGCGACGGCGGAGGCCTCCTCCGACCGCTCTGGCGTCCAGACGGAGCTGGAGGCGGTCCAGAAGTACCTGGACAGCCTGCACGCGGGGTGCGACGAGGCGACCGAGCCGTACGAGGAGCAGGTCCGCCGCCGCTCCGAGGAGATTGCTGGGTTGAAGGAAGCGCTGTCCATCCTCGAGGGCGAGGCCGTGCTCTTGCAGCAGTCTAGGCGCAAGTTCCGCCGCGGCGCGTCCCTGCGCGCTTCCGCGTGAGGAGGGGATCCACTGTCTGTGGAGTGCTTCTGTGGAACGGTACGCTTGCTCGAAACATGTACTTATCCATCAATCTACCCTATGATGACATGGTGATTTGTGATAAGATTGATCGTCATGTGGGTCTGTTGGCTGGTTTGATGCTGGGCGTGTTGGGTGCCAGCGGCCCATCCTATGGGTGCTGTTGGCTGTGTTGGTAGTGCTTGTGTCGGGTGGCTGCTCGCGATTGGTTGTGCTGCCATCGTGTGTTTATTGTGCTGGGTTCTGCTGTCGACATGGTCGGTCTCTGTCGCTACTAGTACTACTGCTGGTGCTGGGCCGCTGGTGGTACTCCGTCTCCTCCTCCTCCTCCTCCTCCTCCTCCTCTTCCTCGAACCTCGAACCTCCACTCCTGCTGCTGCTGCTGCTTCTCCTCCTCCTCCTCCTCCTTCTCCTCCTCCTCCTCCCTTCGTCCTCCTCCTCCCCCTCCCCCTCCCACCTCTACTCTTCTCCTCTTCTTTTTCCTCCTCCTCCTCCTCATCCTCCTCGTCGAGCCTCGAAATTCCTCTTCCTCGTCCCCTCTTCCTGCTGCTGCTCGACCCCCTCGAGCCTCGAGCCTCGAAGCTCCTCCCCGCTCCTCCTGCTTCCCCTTGCACCTCAGACCTCCTCGACATTCCCCGAGACCCTCGGCCGCCGCGCGCGAGGCAGCTGCCAGCGACGGCGCACCCGAGGCACGCCGGGGCGCCCCGCCAGTCCTCGCCAGCTTCGCCCGTCGGCGCCCGGCCCGGCGCTCGGCGAGCTCGCGCGACGTCGTTGTCGTGGTCGTCGTGGTGGCGGCGGTCGTCGTCGTGATCGTCGTGGTCGCCGTGGTGGTGGTGGTGGTGGTCGTCGTCGTGGTGGTCGTGGTCGTTGTCGTCGTGGTCGTCGTGGTGTCGGTGGTCTTCGCGGTGGTCGTGGTCGTAGTGGTGCTGCTCGTTGGTGTCGCGGTCGCGGTCGTGGTGGTGGTGGTGGTCGTCGTCGTCGTCGTGGTTCCCGTAGTCGTGTCCTTTCCTTTTTTTTCATTTCGAGAGGGGAGGGGGAGGATGAGGGGTCGGGGTTGTGGTCGTTGTCTTGGTAGTTGTCGTCGTGATCGCCGTTGTCGTGTACGTTCGTCATCCCCATCCCAGGAAGGGTGTGCAAAGGGGAAGGATGAGGGCGGGGAGGGTGGATGATGGCGAGTGATGATGAGGAGAAGGGGTAGCACGTTCAAAACTAATAGTGAGGACGCGTGGGTGTCTTCAGGGTACCCTTGCGTCCTTGCCTCCGCGGCCTGTTCTCCGCGGTTTTCGCTGGCCAGCCCTCCAGGGTGTTGGTAGCCCGTCGCCCAAAAAGTGCCAACTTCGGCGCCCAAGGCCCTTGCGTCCTTACCGCCCGTCCTGACTATCTACCCCGATCGTAGGATAAGGTTGCGGAGGAGGACAAGGCAGCACGCAAGCAATCACATAACCCTGCAATAAAGTACGCGCGAAGGAAAGCCAGCAAACAGACCAGAAGTCAAACAAGCAAGGCGCCCAGGGGCAAGCTCGACTACACGTAAGAGTGACCCTTCGCCGGAGTGACCTTTGCTGCGGGCCCATTGGGGTTCCCAATCGCCGAACGCGAGGCGGCAGTGGCGTCTTGCGCGCTTGCAATTGCCCCCCCCGCGGCCCCCAAAAAGCCGCGCACCAAAGGTCACTCTTATCCAGGTTCACTCTTACGCGTAGCCGACAAGCCGACTTGCGTACCCGTATGATCGCGGCATGGTGGCGGTCATATAGAGCCTATACAGCAGGCAACCCGTGGGCACACCCAGCAGTATTGACCCCATTCCTCAATGTTCTGTTTCCGTCTATTTTAATCACCTGATCCCCCCAATGCGTCAGAGTTCGTGGGTCTCCTGCGCGTTCGTCGGCTGTCAGGCCACCGCACGGGGGGGCACTGTCAGGTCGCGACGGCGAATTCCGGAACATCGCGCCGAATTTTCGGTTGCTCTGTTGCCACACACTGTCGACGCTTCGCGTATCCCCGCCAGATAGGTTCTGATCGCGCGCTCGGTATCGCGCCTTTGCTTGCTTGTCGCTGTATTATTTGTAGGGACCGCGCCCTGGACTTACCGACCCGCCGCCTGCGCCTTCGCTTGCGGCCGCGACCAAAAAAGTATCCCCACCAGCCTCTCGGGGCGCTTCAAATTCTTCCTGTTCGACAAGTCAGCGGCTGGGTCCTCGTGCTCTTCGCCTTCGACACGCTCGTCGGTAGCTGCTCGCAGGCTGGGTGGTACCGTACCTCCTTCTACCTGCTGCCGCTTGCATTGTTTCTGACTTCGCTAGGGCGCGGCCCGCTCTAGCACGCTCGGCGTTCGACTCGTTTCGCGCGCCCCCGGTCCAAAAAACGCATCCCCACCAGCCCATCCAGAAACGATGCCCAGGGGAGTAGAAGTGATCAGGGACGCGGGGGAGCTCGCAGAAGAACAAAGGGCGGGGGAAACCGTCAGATACCCCAAACGGAGGAGGAGGAGAAGGAAAAGGGCAGCGCCCCCAGAGACGCTGCCCAGACGACTTGCCCTGATCAAGGACGTAAGGGCGTATGCAGAGAAAACAAGTGGCTGGATAAACCGTTGCGGATGAATCGGACAAGGACAAGGAGGAATTGGATGATGACGAGTAGGAGGAGGATGGCGAGGAGGGAGGAGGATCATTTGGACAAGGAGGAGGAGGAGGAAGAGGAGGAGGAGGAGGAGGAAGAGGAGGAGGAGGTGGAAGTGGGGGAGGGGGAGCGAGGGAGGGAGGAGGAGGAAGAGTAGGCGGAAACGGAGGAGGAGGAAAAGGAGGGGGAGGTGGAGGAAAAAGGCGAACAGAAGAGCCAGAAGCCTCTTGAATGCCTCTAGGAGTCTCCTCGGATGTTTCTGGGAAGCTTATAGGATGCCTTTTGAAAAGTCTGGGGAAGCTCTTTGCGGGCCCAGGGCCGTTTTTGATTGTCTAGGGTACCTTGGGGATCATCTTGAGGCCTCTTGGGGGTCTCTTGGGAGCCTCTTGGAGGCCTCTTGGAGCCGTCTGGGCGCCTCTTGGGGCCCTCTTGGGGCGCTCTTGGGAGCTGTAGGGGCGCTCTTCGGACCATCTTGGAGGCCATCGATCAAACAAGAGGGGAGCTCCAATTAGCGCCCCCCCTCGGGAGCCCCAACAATCGCCTCTTGGGGCGCTCTTGGGGCGCCCTTGTAGCGCTCTTGGGCGCTCGTGGGGTCGTCTTGGGGCTCTCTTAGGCCTCTCTTGGAGCCCTGTTGGCCCATCTTGGAGCCATCTTGAAGCCTCAGATACCCATCAGAAGCAAAAAGGCGAGAACGCAAAACACATGGATTCCCCTAGGTTTTGGAAGGATTTTGGCCTCTTCGGGGCTTCCTTGGGGAGCTCTTTGGCCACTTGGAGCCGTCTTGGAACTTGATTGGGGCATCTTGAAGCATGTTGGAAGCCATCTTGAGGCATCTTGCGCTATCTTGATCCATCTTGGAGGCCATCTTGGGCTCTCTGAGGCCCTCTTGGAGCCGTCTTGGGCCATGTTGGACGCCCCGACCGCTCGCGAACTCCCCCGTCCAGGTCCAGGGGAGGGGGTAGGGGGAGGGGTGCACCCCTCCCCGAAGAGGAAGAAGTGGGGTGGAAGAGATAACGCCCTAGACCACCTACGCCCAGAGGGCTGGTGGGATTTAAGGATGTTTGTCACCACGAACATGGGAGGTAACTACGGAAAAAAGGAGGGCACCTGGAACTTCGTAGTTATAAGTTTTTAGTGTGTAGATGTCTTGGGCATGAGTATTCATAAGGGCGTGTTTCGGCCACAATCGGGAGTCGCTTGCTTCAAGCAGTAGCTTGCAACATATGGAGTGGCATTGGCAATGTGTGGGGGGCCACTTGCCCGTGCAGGGCGACGCTCGTCGATTGGCATGGCGAGAAGGCCATGGTATGGCGTTTGGGTTTCCTCCATCCTTCCCATACCTCCGACGACCTGATCTTTCCGAGTCGCCGGCTCCTGGGCCCCTCGTGTCCTTCCACTGGGCCAGCCTGATTTCTCTTGCTGTGGTCCCTTGTGCCTCGAACGCGGCCCGCGAGAGGCAGAACACGACGGATTAATTTCGGCGCGACTTTTTTGCTTGAACAGCGAATGCTGTGAGGAAGCCGACAGGATGTGGTTATCGTTTTTTGGGGGGCGGGGGGGGTTTTGCCGATGGTGTGGCGTCCAGGTGCCGTGCCGTGCCCGCGTGCCAGGCCGTGCGGTGCCGTGCTGCGCTCCTGGGCTGCGGAACAAGACTGTGCCTCTCGCGTGCCGTGCCGTGCCGAGCCGAGCCGTGCCGAGCCGTGCCGGTGCCGAGCCGAGCCGAGCCCTGCCGCGCCTGGCCTCGAAGCCGCCGAGAGGCCGCCCGCCGGGCCGTGCCGGTGCCGTGCCCGAGCCGTGCCGGGCCGCCCGCCGTGCCGGGCCCGCGCGCCGCGTGCCGCGCCCCGCGGCGCGCCGTGCGCCGGGGCGCGCCGTGCTCCGCTGCTGTGGGATTGCAGGAGTTTTTTTTTTTTTTTTTCAGGGTCCGGCGGTGGCCCGGATTGTCGGGCTTGCCCCCCCCCTTCTCCCCCGGATAGCCCAGCCTTGCCCGTTGTGCAAGTCCGGGGTGTGGGGGGGGCGCCGGCATATGCAGGGCTGCCCACAGCGCGAAGGTTGGGTTATCGGCCGGCCCCCCTCCCCTCCCCCCCGGATAACCCGGGTGATCGCCGATTCAAAAAAACCGGTCTCCAGGGCGCATGGACAAAAGAGACGCCTCTTTTCTCCCTGTCGTCCTCTACCTACGGATCGCACAGTAGGTTTGGCTCTTTGGTTGTCCGTTCGCACGCTGTGGTAGGAATTGCAGGGACGTGCCGCCCGCCGTGCCATGCCGTGGCGTGGCGTGCCGTGCCGTGCCCGCGTGCCGTGCCATGCCGTGCTCCTGTGCTGGAAGTGCAGAGTTTGTCGTGCCCGCGCCGCGCCCTGCCGCGGTGCCGTGGCGCGGGCCGTGGCGTGCCGTGCCGTGCCGCGGCGTGCGGCGGCGTTCGAAGCTCTGGCAGAGAGGTGCCGCGCGCCTTGCTCTCGCCGTGCCTTTCCGTGCTTGCCGTGCCGTGCAGGTGCTTGGCTTCACAGTGCGAAGAAAATTTGGCCTGTGCCGTGCCGTGCCGGTGCTTGTGCTGTAAAGCGCGAACAGTGTCGGAGTGGCAAGAACAGTGCCGTGCCGTGCCCTGTGCCGTGCTAGGCTTTCAGGGTGCACGGCAAGCTGCCGTGCTGTTCAGTGCTTATTGCTTCACACCGGAAACATTTGCCGTGCCGTGCTTGCTTTTCAACATGCGAAACAGTTGCCGTGGCGTGCCGTGCCTGGTCCAAGATGCAGTGCCGTGTCGTGCCGACCATGTGTCTTATCGTATGACATGGATTTAGGGTCTCTGTGTTGGCGTATCTTGTTTTATCCACTTGCGCTGCCACGCGAATCCCTCACCGCACTCGGGCGGGCGCCCGGGGGATGGGGGACTTGGGGGTGCGGGGGGGCACCCGTGGGGGTAGGCTCGCATCGCCGATGCCGACTCCGTTGCGGGCAGCAAAATCAGAAGGATTTTTTCCCAACAGTGAGCCCATGCTGGGCTCATTGCGTCGGGGGGCCTCCATGGGGAGACTAAGGGCCTGAACACACACCAACCGCTGCCAGCGCCGAGGCGGAGCCTGCGAGTGGCCAAACGTCAAGGGGGGAACAAGAGCACCCCGACCCCGATACTTGGCGTTCACTAAACGGCCTCGGGCGTTTGCTAAACAGCTCTTCCTTGTTCCACTCCTTCCTTGGGTGCCTTTACTACATGGCTTGGCTTGTCGGGGTGCTTATCGCGACGGTGGATGTTTCGCTCCCTAAAAAAGTCTTCGGCGTCACCCCAACATACTTATACTATATTTGCGTCGCCCCCCCAGGGGCGACGCGCGTACCGAGAAATCTTCTAGTATATGCGTCGTGGTGGGCGCTTTCTGGCCACACCGCTCGGGAAACGATATACTACAAGACGGGTATACTATATGTTCGGGTCGGACGCGCGTCTCCAAGGCGGACATATAGTACTAGTCTGTCTCTGTGCCTCGCAAGTCTGGACCCTTCCTCCCGCCTCCCCCCCAGAACTCCAACGCCGTGCTTCCTTCGCAACGTGGGCACCCCGAGGTCTGGGCCGCCTCCCTGGGACCGGCCTCTCCAGGGCTGTTCGCGGTTCGGTCGTTCGGTGGCGTCGCAGTCGGTGGCGTTCGGCCGGTCCGGTCCGGTCAATTATCGTGTCGTCGCCGCGTCGCTGCGCCCGTTCACGCTGCTTTCGGCCTGCCCGTTTCGGTCGGTGTCGGTTCCGCTGCCCGTTCGATCGGTTTCCGGTTTTGCTGTCGCCGTGCACGGCGTTGTTTTCATCACGTGCCGTTTTTGACGGTCCTGGGGTCCGGCAAGGGCGCCAGGAGGCCGACAAATTTCCTGACCCCCCCGTCGTTGTTTTTGTCTCGGTCATGCGCAGGGGGGGAAAGGCTTCTTAGAAGCACCCCTGCTTCTTAGAAGGCGCGGGCCTCATCTACAGTTGTAGGGCCGCCGTCTTCTGGAAAGCAGCCTCCTTTTATGAAGTCTTCCCCCCTCCCCTATCCCTTTGTTGTGCGCGCCGCCAAATGTCGGTATCGTTTAACCGATCCCCATCCCCATCCCCATCCCCTTCGAGACCCCCACCAAATTACCACCCAATTGGGGATACACCTTTCGAAACACGGGTTAATCGGCCAGTGGGTCCCAGGCCACGCCGCTGGGGATGGGGATCGGTTAAACGATACTCAACATGTTCACGACGCGAAAGAGGTCAGGGGAGGTGTTGGCCCTTCCTCCCTCTCCCCTCGTTCTGGGTCGAGCCTCGAGCGACAAGAGACCTTAAAAAAGGAGAGGAACAAATATGGTGTGTTACATTTTTTCGTCCAAAATCCGCCTGTAGGGGGACATGCCCGACCTAAGGCTACGCGTTCCCCCCCCCCCCCCGATGGGGCTCTTCGGGCCACACTGCCGACGGTGCTGCATCGAGCGACCAGCGCCGACGGGACTGGAGGCGGAGCGGAGGCCTGCAGCCGCTTCTTGAGGGGTGTCTCGGAGTCCTAGAGGTTGACACCAACACCAAGATCGGCGGTGTGCCTCCACCGAGGGAAGACGATCCCGATCTCGGTGACGGTGGTAACATTCTGGCTTCCAAGGTGACCGAACTATTGCCACCAACACCGAAATCTGAGATCATCATCTCCCTGTGGAGGCAAACCCCTGTGCTGGTGTTGGTGCCAATTTCCAGGCCTCCAAGTGTCACAAGGAGGGGCCTCGATCCCCCCCCGCTCCTCGCCTCTCCTCCTTCCCCCCCCCGCCGCCGCCCCTGGCCACCCCGCCCTCGAGCTTTCTCGGCCCCGGCAGCCCCATCCATCCGGGAGCCGCGGCGGGCGCACCACCCCCTCTCGAAGAAGAAGCAAAAGCGGCATAAACAGGAACTTATGTGGCGCTCCGCGCGGGTTTCTTGGATCCGCGCTTGGGCCCCCCTGGCGGCGCCTGCCTCCGGCACCGCACCTGGCGCGCTCCGCGCGCCAGGGAGGGGGGCCCGGCGCGGATCCAAGAAATCCGCGCGGAGCGCCAAAAGTTTGTGCTTAGGCCGTTTTTTCTTCTTCTACTCTCCCCTGCGCCTCGCCGCGGCCCCGCCGCGCGCGGCAAGAGCAGCCGCCCGCCCCGCCGCCGCGCGCCTCGCCGCGCGAGGCGCTCGCCGCGGCCCGCGGAGGCTCCTGGAGGCCGAGGCCTCCGAGTGCCGCCGCGCGCGCGCGCAGCGCTCGAGCCTGCCATGTTCGCCGCAGGCCTCCAGAGTGTCGCGGCGGAGTGCCGCCAGCGGGACATCCTGGCGTGGCACGGCGCGGTGGATGAGGCCTCCTCGCACGTGGCCGCCGCCGTGGTCGCGCAGTGCCGGCGGGCGGCGGACCTGGGCTCCTTCGGGTACAACGTGGCCATCGCGGAGCTGATGCGCGGGCACCCTTTGCTTGACCGGTTCATGGGGCAGGCGCTCGACTCCGCCGACGACCCGGTGCTCCGAGGCTGCGCCTTCAGCATGCGGCCCGAGATGCTGCAGGCACCGAACCACGTGCAGTTCGGCTTGAGCATCCTTTGCGGCGCAGTGGCGCCTGGCGTGGTCGCCTCGCTGGGCGCGGAGGGCCTCGAGGTGGACACAGTCCACGGGCGGAGCCGGTGCAACTTCGGGGCGCCACCACTGCTCCGGATCAGGTGGCGCAGCGGGGCGGACCCCGAGGCCAACCTGCGGAGAAATGCACACCGATGCCGGCGCCCCGGCGCCCTTGCCTCGCCGTCGCTGTCCTGGGGCCCACGGGGGGGCCCTCGTCGCCACGGCTGGGTTCGCCCGCGGAGCCCAGGTCAGAGCGCACCCCTGGGGTAGTTGCTGGGGGGAGGCGGTGCGGTGCAGGCTGCTGTAGTGCCAGCCCGGCGGCGGCCCCGCCGCGGGCGTTCGAGGCTGAGCGTCGCCCGGTGGCCCGGGATCGGCCGACGTGGAAGGATCCGTTCGGCCAGCAAGGCGCGGACGCGCAAGGCTGGAAGCATCTGCGTGGAGCACACCTGGGTCGTTGCGACACGAGCCTGCCAGGGTTAAGTCGGGCCTCGTCCCTCTACAGGAGGAATATTCCAAAAACGGTCCACGAAATAGTCGGGGTACGATTCTTGGACTATGGTCGAGTCTCTTCGGGATGCTTTTTGTTTTTTTTTTGGTTCGTCCAAAATCGGCCCTGTGGGGGGACAGGCCCGACTTGATGCCAGGGCCACCCACGACCCGATTCGATTCGCCGGCCGGGGCCGCGATTCCGATTCGACTCGGTGCGGTGCGATGCGCCAGCGTCGGCCGGGGCCAGCGGGAGCCAGGCGCGGCGGCCCGGATCCGATGCGGCTCGGGAATTATCCGCTGGCGATCCGAGCCGTTTCTGACCCGATCTGGTTTGTCGATCCGATCCAGCTCGGGCCCCCTCCCCACCCTCCCCACCCTCCACCTTTCGCAACCTCATCTGCCCTGATGCGCCCTGGTGTGAAGCGCAGCACGCAGCGTGTTCATAACGCCCGACGCTGCGTGTGGGCTCAACGCATTGGCCTAAGTCATGGCGAACGTATCGCGCCAGAGCTACGTTGTCAGTCCTCGTGTTGAGCTCCGTATCCATACTCTACGTGCTGCGTGTTGCGTATCGGGGCAGCTAAGTTCGCAACTGCTTCTATGTCGCACGCAGCACACTTCAGGAGGGGACAGAACACTCACAGACACAATGAATCGTCGATCCCCAGGAAATATTGGAGAACATTTGGGCAGTGTGTGGGGGGAAGACGAACATCCCGATTTGTGTGCATTTATCTGTGCCTCCCTGGGCCCCTTCCACGATTCTTTCACGACGTGGACCCCCGGCGGTCTTACCAGTTGTTCATCCCGCGTCGTGCTTCGACGGCCCCGAGGCCGAGCAAGGGCCCCCAGAGGCCGCAGATATTAGCGAAACGCCTCCCGTCGTTTTTTGTTTGTTTGTTGTTGTTGTTGTTGTTGTTGTTGTTGTTGTTGTTGTTGTTGTTGTTGTTGTTGTTGTTGTTGTTGTTGAACATTATTAATTCTAAAGAATAATTATTGTTGGGCCCCCTGGTGCGCGCCCCCCCCGCCGCGCCTAGGCCGCAGCCACGTTTTCATCATTTTCGTGAGGAAGCCTCAGGTAATTCGAGGTGATCAAGATCCGGTTGTTTTGTTGTAATCCGTTTTCCCTTGCAAAAAACACTATAAAATGACATTTCTTGTTCTAATATAATCAAATTTCAAGAATCCCTTGCAAAAAATAAGGTAAAGTGGACATTCGCGCGCGCAAGACGAAATCCTTCCAAAAGCTTAGTGTTCGGAGCGATTTTAACATAAAAACATCAAAAAACCAATGGTTTTTCAACAAAAAAATGTCAAAATCTCATCCCGCGCGCTCTTGCGGATTCGTAGGAAACCCAACACTTTTTAAACATTTCTGTCAAACGGGCTTTTGCGAGCAACTTTTTCGAACTTCTGCGACAACGGTTGCGCACCTGCCAGGGCCATCATCCCTGTCAAATAATACCATGCGGGACACATTCGTTTTTTCTTCGCGCGCGCACGCCGAAATCTCCAAAAACCATTGGGTTCTGTGGGTGTGTACCCCACGCCAGTGTAGTAGCCACGGTCGTCCGCACGCCACGAAGTGAAGTGTCCCAACGTCATAGGGCGGGAAGCTGGGTTTGGGTGGTCGCGAAGAGTCGTTTGGATATTTGGTAGAGCTTGTAATGCCCCCCCACGAAGTGGGGGTATTGCCTGGTGTCGTATGAAAACCCTGGCACTGGGGAGAACACCACGCGTTCGGGTAAAATGATTGTTGTTGTTGTTGTTGTTGTTGTTGTTGCTTTTGTCTTTCTGGCCCGATGGGGGGCCTGGGTCGCTCCGCTCGCAGGCCTGCCTCCTGTACGCCCGCTTCAAAACGCCACGCGTGCCGTGCTCAAGACGTCCGTGCCAACATCAAACGGGCGCCTCCGACGGGGCGCAGAAACTCATTCGCGCGCGCTCCGCGCGTCGCGCTTATCGGCTCCCATGCCTCCTCCTCTTCTCCCCCGGGGGGGCGGCGCGGGAGCGCGAAGCTATCCGCGCTTCGCGCTTCGCGCTTGTACTACGCTGTGTGGTTGGCCCGGCGCGTGTGGGCCACTCTCTTTGGCGTCCGCACCTCGCCAGGCCTGCGCTTGCAGTCTGCGTGTGGAGCTCTGTGCCATCACGCTACGAGCTGCGTCTCGCGTGCCCAGACCCCCGTGGTGTTTTTTTTTTTTTTTTTTTTTTTTTTTTTTTTTTTTTTTTTTTTTTTTTTTTTTTTTGTTTTTTTTATTTGTTATTTTAATTTTTGTTTTTCTTTGTAATGTAGTTTTTAAGTTAACGTCGATCCACACCACAGGTCTCGACGCATTTCCTGGGCCTGGTTTCTCATCCTGGGCCGTTCCTTGACGGTCTCGAGGGCCAGCGAGGGCCCTCAGAGGCCGAAAATAGCGAAAAGCCTCCCGACGTTATTCTTTCCTAGCTCGAGGGGCCGGGTCTGGGTGTCGCGTATCGGGGCAGCTAAGGTCAGAAGGCTCGGAAGTCCCCTGGCCTTCGGAGGAGTTTACCAAGCTTTCTCCAAACTCAAGACATAGAGAACTTCTCAGACGGCGCGAGGGCTTCTGAGAAGTCCCGCCGCCTTCTGATCAGGCCTGCTCCTCCTCACTTCCCCCCCTCGCTCGCCGCCGAGCTCCGCGTCAACACTCTACGGGCTGCAAGTCGCGCATCGGGGCAGCCGACCCAGCCCCCCGACGTCATGATTTCTTCACCACGTCGACCCCCAGAGGTCTCGACCCTTTCCCCGACCGGTTTTTCATCCCGAGTCGAATAGCGCCAAACTCCCGTCGTGTTTTTTTGGTAGCTCGAGGGGGTCTGGGGAGGAGGAGGAGGAGGAGGAGGAGGAGAGGAGGAGGAGGAGGAGGAGGAGGAGGAGGGAGGAGGAGGAGGAGGAGAGGAGGATGGAGGAGAGGAAGGAGGAGGAATAGGAAGGAGGAGGGAGGAGGAGGAAGGAGAGGAGGAGGAGGAGGAAGGAGGAGGAGAAGGGGAAGGGAGAGGAGGAGGAGGAGGCGGAGGTGCCTTCGACTGCCTCCCCCCAAAGAGGAGGCGGCGGGCGCCGCCGCGCCCGAGACCGCCCGGCGCGGGGCCCTCGCCGCTGTGCTGCGCCGCCAGGCCGCGGCTGCTCGGCGGCGGTGCGCGGCGGCCTGGGAGGCCGCCCTGGGCGAGGCCGTGGGCGACGTCGTGCGGGTCGTGAAGGCTGCCGCCTCCTCCTCCTCCTCCTCCCCTCCGCCTCCTCCTCCTCCTCCTCCCTCCTCCGCCCTCCTCCTGCCGCCTCCTCCTCGCCTCCTCCTCCTCCGCCTTGTCCTCCTCCTCCGCCTTCCTCCTCCTCCTCCTCCTCCTCCTCCGCCTCCTCCTCCTCCTCCTCCTCCTCCTCTTTCTCTCCTCCTCCCTCCTCCTCCCTCCTCCTCCTCTCCTCCTCCTCCTCCTCCTCCTCCTCACCTCCTCCTCCTCCTACTCCTTTCTCCTCCTGCGCCTCCTCCTTCCTCCGCCTCCTCCCCTCCTCCTCTCCTCCGCCTCCTCCTCCTCCTCGTCTCCTCCTCCTCCTCCTCCTCCTCTTCCTCTCCTCCTCCTTCCTCCTCACCGCCTCCCTCTCCTCCTCCTCCTCCTCCTCCTCCTCCTCTCCTCTCGCCTCCCCTCTTCCGCCTCCTCCGCCTCCTTCTCCTCTCCTCCTCCTCCTCCTCCTCCCTCCTCCTCCTCTCCCTCCTCCAGTCCTCCTCTGCCTCCTCCTCCTCCTCCTCCGTCCTCCTCCTCCTCCTCCTCCTCCTCCTCCTCCTCCTCCTCCTCCCTCTCCTCTTTCTCCTCCTCCTCCTCCTCCTCCTCCTCCTCCTCCTCCTCCTCCTCCCCAGAGATCCGAGGATACGATTTTTTCACTCCGGCGGTTCTCCTGGATTTCGGCCTCTGGGGCCCGTTGTCGGGCCCGCGGGCCATCAAAAACGGATCCGCGGCGGAAAGCCACCCCTGGGGAGGCGGTCAGGACCTCCTGGGGTCGGGCGTGGCGGCGCCCGCCGCCTCTCTGGGGGAGCAGTCGAAGGCACCGACCTCGGCTGCCCCGACACGCCCGACACCCAGACCCCCTCGGGCCACGAAGAAATCATGGCGCGGGGAGTTTTTCGTTGGCTTTTCGGCCTCTGGGGGCCCTCGCAGGCTCTCGGGACCGTCGAGGAGCGTCTCGGGATGCCGAGCACCGGCCCCAGGGAGTGGGTCCAGACCGCCGGGGGTCCACGTCGTGAAAACATCATGGCGTCGCGGGTCCCGGTTCGCCACTCCTCCGTGCCCCGCCTCCGCTCGCCGCCGTGCGCCGCCACCGTCCCGCACCCCCCCTCTCCGCCGCGGCCTCGCCTCCGCCCCTCTGCTCTTCGTCCTGCTCTTCCTCGTCCCCGCTCGGCGCTGTTGGAGCGGGCCGGAGGCCTGAGGTGGCCCAGCACTGGCTCCGGCGAGCAGGCAGGGGGGGCAGGGTCGAGGCGCGGGGTTCGACAATGGTTTTGGCCCTCTTCGGCCTCCGGGGGCCGTTGTCGGGTCCCAGGACCTGGGGCGAAGACCTGCACATGTGGACCCCGGGAGGACTCTGGGGACCGATTTTGAGCGGATTTGGCCTCGTGCTCTTGATCGATGGTCTGGGGCCCCGTCCAGTTCAGACCCCCCCCGGCCGCCTCCAAGTGAAGGCCTTGTGCGAGCAGGTGGCAGGGCGCGGCGGCTTCGAGTGCGAGGTCGACGTGTCCCCAGCAGTGCTGGAGCACAGCCTGTGCCGCAAGTTTGACGGCCACACTGTCCACAGCGTCGCGGACGACGACGTCGTCCTGGGGTACCTCTTCAGCTTGTTGCCTGAGGCCGCTGGGGCCCACTCCCATGCGCAGCTGCATCCTGGCCTGCTGCTGGACCCAGTGAGCGAGCGCGCCCGCGTGGCGCTGGCCAGAGATGGCATCTCGGCCGAAGTCTTCAATCGCTCGTGCCTGCACCTGTCGTGGCCCCCTCCAGGCGGCGCCTCTCCGATGGCCGTGGCCTCCGCAGAGGTGTGGCCCGCGCCGCCACCCGCTTCGCCGCATGCGTCGCCCGCCTTCGGCGCTGAGCCCACGGACCCCGCCCCGTTCGACTCCACGCAGGCGTGGCCCGCGGCCGCTGGGCCCGCGGCGGCGGCGCCGCCGCCGCAGGACGAGCCGGCCGCCCCGGAGGCCGAGTCGACGCCCCCGCCCTCTGGGCGCGCGGGCGCTCCCGCGGAGGCCCTGTCGCCTGCCCCGCCGCGCATGCCGCCCAGACCCCGCCGGGCCCACCGCCCGCCCCTGCCAGGCCGCACTCCTGCAGAACGCGCGGGGGCCGCGGCCACGGAGCCACCCGCAGGCGCCGCCGCACAGGGCCCAGCTGCCGCGGGGAGCGTCCCCGCGGCCGCTCCCCAGCTGCCGCCGCCACGCGTCCAGCCAGACTGGCCGCTGGAGGCCGAGCTGTCGCCTGTCGCCGAGGCGGCCGAGCTGCCGAGCTGGCTGCTGCTCTCCCCCTCGCCGCTGGCGCTGCCGCCGCCGCCGCCACCTCCGCCGGCGCGGCAGGCGGATTTGTCGCCAGCGCGGGCGTCTGCGCGGACGCCTGCGCCGGCGTGGTCGGCGGTCCTGCCGCATTTGCCACCTCCACCAGCGGGCTCGTCGCCGATGGCGCCGCGCCCGTCGCTTGCGGGCCCGCCGCCGTCGCCCTCGGACCCGTCGCCGCGGGCAGCGCTGTGGGAGCCGCCAGGGCTGGCGCCGGTGGCCGCGCAGGGAGTTGCAGCCATCGCTGCGGCTGGGGCCGCTGGGCTGCGCGGCGGGGCGGTGGTGCACGCACCCGACGCCGTGTACGCACCCGACGCCGCTGCGCACGTCTGGATGCCGGTCCTTCCGAGGAGATCCAACGCTGCTGAAGTCACGACCAGAGCCCTAGACCGCAACTTTCTGCTGCCTTCTCCGAGCCGGACCGATCTGTGATGGCCCCGGAGCCCGAAACGAGGCAACACATCGCCCGTCGTGAAGTGTCGAGACGCCAGGATCTCAGGGAAGCTCCTGGCACGAGGCACTTCGGCTGGACACCGGGCATGCCAGGGAGCTGCCAGGTGCAGCGCACGCGGCGTGGCACGCGGAGGCCGCCTTGCCGCCCAGCGATCACGCCAGCGGGGGCGGCGGCCACCCTGCGCGCGCGGAGGCCGTCGGCGGTGCGCAGGCGGCGGTGGCGCTGGGGCTGGGCGCAGCGGCGGGTGCTACCGAGGTGCCTGCGGCACCGCTGTGCCCCGGAGGTGCTGCCAGCGCAGGGCGCAGGGCGCCCGGGAATGTCATCATGCAGTGCGGCATCTGCCACGACGATGGCCCCATGGAATCGCTGGCCAGCTGCGGCCACCTCGTCTGCTCCGACTGCCTCGAGCGCGCGCTGGGGCCGCAGCGGAAGTGCCCCTTCTGCCGCTGTCAGGTGTCCGGCTCGCAGCCGCTGTTCGCGCCCTGACGTGAGCACTCTTGTGTGCATTCGGCCAGCGCCAGGGTCGCAGAGGCGCTGTGCTCTCTCGGATAGGGCTCGTGCCGTCCTGTACCCGGGAGGCACCCTGCCTGGTCTTAACCCGTGCAGGCTCTGAATTCACGCGCATCGCTTGCCTCCCGATGGCTTGGCGAGCGCAATGCTTGCCTCCCCCGCCAATCTTTCCAGAGGGAACAAGCACACACACACACTGACATGAAGACCATCGCGCACTCCCAGGGGCATCAAGGGAACTGTGGCAAGCAGAGGGGCAGGCGAGAACCCAGCACGTATGGAGAGCGATGGGGAATCCTGGGAGGACGTGTGTCTACTTATCTATGTGTGTCCCTGGTGGAGGGATTCTCCGAAGGGCTTAGGCGACACGTCCTCCTCCTCCTCCTCCTTCTCCTCCTCCTCCTCCTCCTCCTCCTCCATTCTTTTCCTCCTCCTCCTCCTTCTCCTCCTCCTCCTCCTCCTCCTCCTCCTCGGGTCGCCTACGGCCCTGGGGGAAACCGTGCAGTCGAGGTATAGTCGGGGAAACGTAAGACTCGGTTAAGCCGGAACTCGGGTTTGCCGACGCTTTTTGACGAGCGCGTCCTGGATTTTGACGGTTCGGTTTTCGTGGGAAGTCTGCTGCGGGAGCTCGCGTCAAATTTCAGGTTGGGTCTCGTCATTTTCATGATGGCCCCGTCAGGGCAACCCGAGTCTCCCCAACCCGAGTCTTACGCCAGTTCGGGGAGGGTGCCCTGAAGTTCTTCGTGCTTGTTGGATGTTCTTTTGCATCCTGGTGAGGGTGCCCGTGGAGGTTCTCTGTGTGTTATGGCCGGCGGAGGGTCTCATGTTCTCGGACGATGTTCTTCTGTCCTAGGTCTGGCCGTGACCGTCGTCGTGCTTTTTCACGACGTGGGCCCCGGAGTGCTGGGCCCTGTCCCCCCGCCTGCTGTGTACGTCGTGGATCTTCCTCTTGTTCGGGCACGGACAGAACGCCCCCCCAGACAAATCAAGAGGAAATCTGCACGGGTTCACTCGACGTTGGCACTTGAATGTGCGGGTGGAGTCCCCAGTCGGTTTCGCTCATCGGCGTGCAGACACGTGCCAGGATTGCAGGAGTTGACATCGCTTCCTTGGCGGAGGGCGGCGGAAGTGAAACGATGCCATATCCGCCAGCGGAAGCCAGCGGAAGGCCCGCGGAAGCCGGCGGAAGCAAACGTCTGTCTTCCACGAGCTGGCCTTTTTTTTGGGGGGGGGGTTAAGGGTTTCTGGAACCGGCCACATCGAATCCGCTCCCTCGCCCCCCGATCCATACCCGAGCAACGAGGAAACCAGACCCCCGACGGCATGAGTTGTTCATGGCGTGGACCCCCAGCGGTCTGGACCCGTTCCCCGGGGACCCGTGTTGCATCCCGAGCCCCTCTCTGGACGGCCCCGAGGGCCGGCGAGGGCCCCCAGGGGCCGAAGACAGGGACAAGCTCCCCGCCGTGATCTTCTCTCATGACCCGAGGGGGCCTGGGGAAGCCGGGGCCCGCGGCTCGGGCACTGGCGCGCAGGCCGCCCGTGCAGGGGGCCGCGCGCGCGCGCCCTCGTCTCCGCGAGGCGTGCCGCGCCGGCGGCCCGCGCGGGGTCGCCGGCGCGAGGCCGCCGCGCCCCTCGTGCGCGAGGCCGCCTCGCTGGCCGAGCAGCCCGTGCCGTGGCTGTCTGAAAACGGCGGGGGCGTCGGTGGAGGGCTGTGCCCAGGCGGCCGCAGACCTCGGGGACGGAACCCAGGCCCCCTCGAGTTATGAAAAAATCATGACGGGAGGTTTTTCATTATTTTTGGCCTTCGGGGGCCCTCGCTGGTCCTCGGGACCGTCAAAAAACGACTCAGGACGAAAAACCGGTCCCGGGGAAAGGGTCCAGACCGCTGGGGTCGACGTCATGAAAAATTCATGACGTCGGGGGTCTGGGAACAGAGGGGGGTGATGACCAGGGGGGGGTGGATATCCTGGCGGGGGCCATGACGTTTCCCCAGATTTTATGGCGTCTCTTCTTATTTCATTGCGTCCCTGGCCCCCCCGCTGGGCCGCGCACATGCCGCCGGCCATGATTTGCACCCCCCCCTCTTGGACACCCCCCTCTTTACCGCTCCCGAAGACCCTAGGGGGGTCCTTCTCTGATCAGGGCGGCAGTGCTGCCCGCGGCTGGTCCACGATTCGAGCTCCACTGGCTTCCAGACCCTGGATGCCTTGTCACTCAAGATGCCTTTGCACTGGCAGGCGAGTTCAAACGTCGCGAAAGGGCCCTCTAAGCTGCCGAGCAAAAAGCTATTCCTTATCCGATGCCCCCACCGTGCGGGGTCCCCGGAGGTCCCGGCCCCCCTGGGGCCGGCCCTTCCCCCCAGGCAGCCTCTTGACGACCCGGGGGCCCGGCGCGGCCCCCCCGCAGGCCGGGCGTGGCGAGAGACGTCCGTTTTTTGTTTTGTTTTGTCTTGTGTGTGTGTGTGTTTTGCAGGACGTGGGATGTCTGGGTCCGCCGCCCGCCCGCTCTTTTCGGAACGACCAGCGGCGCGGGGGGGCTCCCCCGCGGCCCCGCCGGGAATCGTGGCGAGCAGTCTCCGCCCACTTTCTCTTCTTTTCAAGGCGATGGATGTTTGTATCCGTCGCCCGCCCGCCCTTTTTGCACAGACCAGCCGCCGCGGGGGGGACCCCCTGCGGCCGCGCCCGGAATCGACGGCCCGCCGCACCCGCCGGTGGTCGCGCCTTGAGGAGGAGCCCCCCGCCGCCGCACGGTCCAAAGTGTCGCGGGTGCAAAGGCAGAAGCAAATGCAGCCGTGGCGGGGGAGGGATTGCAGCTTCCGCGTAGCGAGCGGCGGGAGGAAGAGGGAGGGTGGGGGAAGAGGGAGAGGGGGAGGGGGAGGAGGAGAAGGAGGAGGAGGAAGGAGTAGGAGGAGGAGGGAGTAAGGAGGAAGTGAAGGAGGGAGAGAAGGGGACGAGAGGAGGAGAAGGAGGGAGGAAGAGGAGGAGGAGGGAAATGAGGATGAGGAAGGGTGGAGGGGAGGAGGAGGGGCGAGGAGGAGGAGAAGCAGGAGCAGAGGAGGGAGGAGGAGTTTCAGGAGGAGGAAGGAGGGAAAGGGAAGGAGGAGGAAGGAGGAGGAAGAAGGATGGGAGGAGATAAAAAAAAGAGGAAGGAGACGAAGCAGGACGAGGAGGAGGAGAAGGCGGCGGAAGGTATGTCCGATGTCTCGCTTCTTCCTGGATGCTGGCGTTCTGATGCGCGGCTGATCCGCGTATCCAAGAGTCTTCGGCTGTTGCTGCGTCGGATGCTTTTCTGCTGCCTGCTGGTACGTCGTCTGTGCCTTCTTCCTTTCCTGCTCTGCGTCTGCAGTCTCCTTGGTGAGCGCGGGTTTAATCTCTTCGTCTGCTTCTTCTCCTCCTCCTCCGCCTCCCTCCTCCTCTCGCCTATTCTTCGGCTTCCGTGTCTGCTTCTTCGTCTTCTTCTTCCTCTGTGTCTTCCCAAAATAATCCCCCTCTGCTCTATCCCCAAAATCCCATCCCCCGCCCCCCAGCCCGCTCCCCCCCCCGACCCCGCCCCCCAAAAGCCACCCGCCTTGCATCAACAGCGAAGCCCTCACCCCATTGGGGCCCCCACAAGCACAAAACATATATGCATAATCAAGAAGAGCATCACAAAATTGCACATGCAACACCCCGCCATATTAGCAACAAACCAGAACCTTGTTTTTTGCAATTGCAAAAACACGCAGCCCTTTTCCCTCCCCGCCAGGCAGGTCTCGTGCCGCGCCCCCCCAGTACCCATCGGCACCCAGCTGGGGCGCGGCGGCGGCGGCCACGTCGTTGCACCGAGGCCTTGCCCCGTGGGCGTCTGGTGCCTGCCCTCCGCCTCCCACCGGCTCGGCCCACTTCGCGCCCAGGGGGGGAGGGGGGCGGTGGCCGGCCGCAGGGCCTGGGCATCGTCATCATCGTCATCGTCCTCGACGTCTTCATCGTTGTCATCGTCATCGTCATCGTCATCGTCATCGTCATCGTCATCGTCATTATCGTCATCGTCATCGTCATCGTCGTCGTCATCGTCATCATCGTCATCGTCGTCGTCATCGTCACTATCATCCTCATCATAGTCATCGTCATCTCCGGGTGCCGCCGCTGTGCTGTGTGTTGGGTCGGGCGTGTCCCTCTGCAGGAGGAGCGTTAGAGGGTAGTGGAATATTACAGGGTAGTGGAGTGGCCTGTTTTTTGACTAATTATGTGTTTTTCGCATACTTTTGTTTTTAGTTTCTCACGAAAATCGCCTGTAGGAGGACATGCCTGACCCAGTACTAGTACAGTCGGACCGAGGTGGAAGATCCAGGTCGGCTCGGGGAGGGTACCCTCGTGCTCTTCGTTCTTGTCCTTGTTTCGGAAAAGACAAGACGCCATGAACATGAACTTGTGGCGCTCCTCGCGGATTTCTTGGATCCGCGCTGGGCGCCCCCCCCCAGCGGCGCCTCAGGCGCCGCCCCTGGCGCGCTCCGCGCGCCAGCGAGGGGGGTCCCGCGCAGGTCCAAGAAATCTGCTCGGAGCGCCAAAAGTTTATGTTTGTTTTTTGTTTTGTTTTTGTTTGCTGGTTTTTGTTGTTTTTATATTGTCCAGGAGGGAAAAAACACACACAGACACAATTAATCGTCGATTCCCCAGAAAATATGGGAAAATATGGGAAGTGGGGGGGAAGACAGAAACTCAGAAAATATGGGAAAATATGGGGAACCTTTTTATTTGTGTGTATTTCTTTGTGTGTCCTGGGGCCCCTTCAATTGTTGCGCGATCGTGTGCAGCCAGCCTGGGGAGGGCACTCCCGAGTGCTCTTCAGTTTGGGCCGGCGGAGGGCCTCCCGCTCTCGAGGGATGCTCTTCCGGCCTGGGCCCGGCTGTGCTAGCAGTAGGTCGGGCATGTCCCCCTGCACGCGACTTTCGGGAGAAAATAAAAACAAAAGCGTGCAACACAAACAGAACTAGTCAA